CAGAGCCTAGCAGGGAGGGAGAGAGGGAGGCCCAAGGATGCTGCGGCGGCCTGCGCGGCCGAGAGGAAGAGGAGGGGGAAAGCGCTTCACCCTTGCGCGGCGTCCTTGGCGGGGATTGCGCCAGGCGGAGGGGCGGGCGAGGCTCGGCTTCCCAATCACGAAAGCGCAGCCCGAGGAGAGCAGCCGGATCCGCCCCGTCTCTCCTCTCTTCTCTCCGCCCGGCCCCGCCCGCTGCCTCGCTTCCTGTCCTTGCCGGCCTGACCCGGCGCGTTGCCTTCCTCCTTTCTCCTCCTCCTCCGTCTCCTGCAGGCTGCTGCGCCGCGCTCTGCCCGCCATCCATCCCGCCAGCCCATCCGCCGGCCCCGAGCGAAGCCAGCCAGCCAGCCAGCCAGCCTAAGAGGTGAGTCCCCTCCGGAGAGCCCGATCGCATCTCTTTCCCTCCCCGCAAAGCCTCTTTTTAATAGCAGATCTGAAGGTTTTCCTCCCCCCCCCCTTTAAAATATACATATAAAAGAATAAAATATTAAAATACCTATATTCGCAGTAGTGGCGAACATGCAAGCCATACATGGATGTTCGCCACTATTGCAAATAGTTGCATTTTAATGTTTTATTATGTAATAGTGGCGAACATACATACATACAGAGATGTACATTCTCCACTATTACAAATATATGTATTTTAATGTTATTTAATAGTGGCGGACATACATACATGCATGCAGGCATGTTTGCCACTATTGCAAATATGTCTTATTAATAGTGGCAAACATATACATACATTTAGATATACGTCGGCCACTATTGCAAATATATTTTAATACTTTATGAGACAGTGGCGAACGTACATGAATGCAGGTTTGCTACTATTGCAAAGAGATGTGTTTTAATATTGTATTATTTAATAGTGACGAACATACATACATCTATACATACGTGTATATTCACTACTATTGCAAATTCTGTATATGTTGCAATGTGGGCTGGGAATCGATTTGGGAAGATGCTCTGAAAGAGGGGGAGAGAAAATTGGGGAGAGGGATGATTTCATCCCTTTGGTGCATCTTCTCTTTCTATCCACCCCCCCAAAAAAACTCTCTATGCCCCCCAGTCTCAATTACCCCCCACCCCATCCCACCCAGGCCTGGAATTGTCTTATTTTTTTAATACATGCATGCATATATGCACATATCAAAAAAGGGGAACTTTTTAATAAAATAAGGATGCAATCAAGAGGTAAGGGATGAAGGGATGGATGGATGGATGGATGGATGGATGGATGGATGGATGGATGGCGTTCTCCCCTCCTCGTTTCTAGTCTGCTTCCAAAGGCCGAACCAGAAGGGTTAGAAGGAGTTTTTCACTTTTCTTTGCCCTCTACGAACTCACCCACCCAGCCTGGAATTTGTGCCAGGGAGGCTTTCCTTCCTCTTGCCTCCCGAATGGGGCAGGTTAAAAAGAAAGAAAGCGCCCAGATCGATGGTCCAATCTTTTCCCCCAGATCTCCTTGGATCGGATGCCAGAAGGAGAGGGACTTGTTGCATCATAATCCCCCAGTTTGAATGGAGAGGCTGGAGGGGAAGCAGCTGTCAATCAAGCAGCGCGGGGGGGGGGAGGGAGTAGGACGTGCCTAGGAGCACGCGGTCTGCAGAGAGCGCTTTTTTTCTATTTCCAAGGAAGTGGGGGGTGTTGTATAAAATTGCATGCTCACTTTTTCCGGCCCTGCCCAAGTGGAATTGCCAGGTTGAAGGGGGGGGGGGATGAGTAAACATGGAGAGCTTGCCTTCCCTCCCCCCCCCTCCCGGAATCTTTTTGTTTTTTGCAAGCTGCAAAGTCATTTGGGTGCCAAGAGGATCATGTGACACACACACACAATTACGCACTTTATATTTGCTTGCCTGTTGCGAGAATCTTCCGCTTGTTCACACACCCAAGCTTGAGTGAGCCACATCCTGCCCAAGGAGATCTTGCAGAATGAAGCTATTTTTTTTTTTAAAAAAGGCAGAATTAGGCTCCCCCCCCCCAAAAAAAAAACCTCCTGCAATATGGGGGCAGAGTTGCTTGGCCGGATTTTTTGCAGTGTTTTCTGTGTTGTCTCCTGCAAAGAATCAGGTGACACGTTAAGCAGGGTTCCACTTGCATGTTAGTTCTCCATTTATGACGGTAATTGAGCCTGGCAGAATCATGCCTAATGTGTACAAAGTGAGCCATCGTGAGACTAGATTCAGTTTTTATGACCTTTTTTTGTGGTAGTTAAGGGACTATTGTTGTCGTAAAGCAGCAATGCAGTCCTTAAGCGAACCCTGGAGTCGTTAAGCAGAGCTATTGTTTGCTGGGGGGTAGGTGGGGGGTGTTTCCAGGAAACCAGAAGAAAGAAATATTGGTTTCTGGGGAAAAATATGTTGTAAATTTCAGTCAGTGGTGGGTTTCAAAAATTTTTAGAACCTCTTCTGTAGGTGTGGCCTGCTTTGTGGGAGTGGCTTGCTGNCGGCACACTAGTGTGCCGCGGCACAGTGGTTGAAAAACACTGTTCTAGTCCAACCTCCTGCGTAGGCAGAAACCCTACACCACTTCAGACAAATGGTTCTCTTTGCTGCCTTCAAATCAATCTTGACTTCTTGCAACTCCTTGGAGAAGTCTGCAGTTTACTTGAGAAGATTTTGGAAGTGGTTATTGCCTCTTAGGGCTGGCAAGAGTGACCGATTCAAAGCCACCCAGTTGTTTTAGTCTCCAGTTTCTAATCTGGTGCCTTGAGCCACTACTCAAATTGACTCTCAAATTGTTTTGTTAGAGTTAGCCAAATGTTGATTTTTATCTATATACCAAGTCCTTCCCAAATTCCTTGGATAGGCAGATGTTGTTTGATGGTAGTCACAATATGTAAACTGCTAAGCTGCCTTTTGCAATTAATGATTGTTATTGATGAAGTGATGCTCCAGATGTTTTGGGATTGCACCAAAGGTGCCTATTACTATTGAGACTATCTTTGCTTTATTTTGCCAGAGTAGCTCTACTTTTATTTTCAGGTCTTTGTATTTTAATTTTCCCCCAGCTTACTTTTCTATTTTGCTATCTCAAGGTACTGGAATGTCCACTATCAACAATTGTTATGTCTGGAGTGGTATATGAAAGTTGATTGTCTTTTTGAATGTTAAACACTCAGAGCACTTGATCTATTTTGTGATCCCATCAGTTCTTGTTTGCAGGCAGTTAACTATAAATTATAATACACTTGTGGTGAATGGGTGACAAATTTGAGATACAGTATGTAGTATTTCTTGCAGATATTCCAATGCACTATTGTTGCTACTTTGTTACACACTTTAAAGTCTTCTTCATTCTCATGATGTATGTATAAAGTCATAAGTCACTTTTTCTGAGGCCATAATTTGGAAACCACATTATTAAACAGATGGCAGTTAAGGACAGCCTGTAGGATCAATGGACAGACGATCATTTCTGAAATGCAAGCTCAATTTGAAGAATTATTTAAATTAAATAGAGAACCAAGGTTATGTGTAGTCCCAACTCTTGGAAAAAATGTTTAAAGTTGAGATCTGAAAACACACACACAAATACACACAAAT